AACATTGGCAGCTTTGAGATCTCTATGAATGATCCTCAATCTAGAATCTTGATGAAGATAAAGAAGTCCTCGAGCAATTCCACCAATAATGTTCAGACGCCTATTCCAGCCTAATAGCTTGCTTCTTTCTTTATCTGACTCATTTCTCCTCATTGTTAGTGCAATAAATAATCAAATACTTAGAGGAGAGTTCAAAAATAGGATGATTAGAGGTGAGGGACAAGAGAAATCTAACCAAAAATAAAGTAGTCTAGACTTTTATTTGGCATGTACTCGTAGATTAACATTTTTTCATCTCCTTCAATGCAACAACCAAGAAGCTTTACCAGATTTCGATGCTGAAGCTTTGCAATCAACATAACTTCATTCTTGAACTCTTGAAGTCCTTGTCCTGAACTCCTCGATAGTCTCTTCACTGCTATGTCTTGCTTCTTCTCTAACAATGTACCCTTTACAATAACAATTCAGAAATGAGAAGTTATTAGTAAGAAATGTCATTTTAGAAGAACCTATTTATATGTTTTTGTGTTACCTTGTACACAGGACCAAAGCCACCCTGTCCCAACTTGTTTTTGCTTGAAAAGTTATTTGTAGCACTAGTAATGATTTCCAAATCAAACATCTGCAACTCCATGTCTTCCTTTTCTTCATCATTCATGTAATCATTTCTGAAATGCCTTTTTTTGGGTCCTGAAATAAAGGTTGTTTTAACTACAATAAAGGTATTAAAAAGTCCATTGTTCAAATCAAATGAAAAATTATCAAAATTTCATAGTGACGCAACTTCCTGCTACTAGAAAGCTTTTGATTCAGATTTCTATGACAAAAACACCAAGAAGTATAAGAAATTGGAAGAGTACTTTTACCTTCGTTTCTGCATTTTTCCTTCCTTACACAGAAAACAAACCCCACTACTAGGATTAACGTGCCTAAGATGACAGAGCTCACCATTAATGCTGCTTTCTTCATCTCCCTTGATCTCTTTGTCCTGTCAAGATGAGCTGAAAGGTTGAAAGTTAAGTTAATGGACATCAGTTTGAGTCTAGGTACAAGTTTATAGTCATGAAGAGTTCAAAGAGCTATAATCCTTAAATAGGAAGAGGTAAAGTTGAGCAGAAGGTACCCATGTCTGAAGGTGCGAGTCGTGTATAGAGGTCTTGTCCTCCCGGTGTGAGATCTCGTATATCAATCAAGTCACCGAACCACAGCAAGCAGCCACTTCCTCCATCTCTGACATCCGCATCAGTATATGCTGTACAGGAGCATTTTGTCAAACACATTTGCTTACATTCCTTGAGGTTCATTGTCATGTTTATTGTGGAATTGGATGTATCCGGCCATTTCAACCCTGTATGCTTGAGAAACACATCTTTTTCACAATCTGAGGGGGTATCTCTAACACAACCGTCAGACCAATATCCTGAATTCCAATCTACTGGAGATTTGGGCAAATATCCTTCCAAGCATGAACATACAGGAGATTTACTGATATTGCAGTTAGCAAATTTTCCACAGAAGGCATAATTTTGGCAGTCATCTTCAGGAGCCTTCTGAAGCTTCCAATCATCAATCCCTTTTTTCGAGAAGAACTGAATAAGACCAAATGAATTCAACACCCACCTTGTTTCAACTGAGCTATCTTCGGGCTCATACCTATAGTATACCTCTTCATCAGTAAACACATATTGAGCTGAAACTACAGAATATGACCTAGCAAAATGCCCTGCAAAAGCAATACCATTCCATGGCCCTGCCCTGTACTGAATTTTAGGTCCCTTCTCAAATACTAATTGGGGAACCCCTCGAGTGTCTACACGTGCCGAATATATTCCTGGAGCTGGGTCATCTGTGCTTCTCCAGGATGTATAAAACCACTCAAACCCGGTTTTAAAGTTTTTTCCAAGCTTCATTCCCGGCAGTAATGTATCAGATGGATAATCAAAACTCTGCCACAGATAGTTGCCTGGGTTGTAATTTTTTTCATCTTGCACTACAAGGTTTCCTGACTCCAGGAGCTGAGCAACTGGTTTTTCTGCACTTCTTGAAGTATTGGATGACCAAACGGCACCCTTTGTGCTATTAAGAAGAGCAAGAGTTCCCTTCGAGTCTAGTACCAGAACCCCATCACCATCAGAAAGTGGATTTTCTCTATTAGCTACCCACACAACTATCGGAGTTGCTGGTTTCTTCACTTTCTTGTACCATATACCCAAGTACAGACTCTTGGAACTTCCAGGTCTGAAGAATCCAAGCTCAAAGCTTCCATTGGATGAAACTAGAGTTTCACCAATTTTTATTGTTTTATCTGGACCAATAGTATCTAGTGCAGCAGCTCCACTTATAATGGAGAACAAGATTAAGCATATAAGAAATCTCAGAAAGCTTTCCATTATTTTCTCATCAAAGAAGCATAGATTATGAATGAAGATTTTAGGATTATTTGAAACTAAAGATGCTGAACAGAATTACACAGGAGTCGCATTTGTTTCTTGGTCAGCCCACTTATTTCCACAGGCAGGTCAAATTCTAGTGACAATTTTAGAAATTGATTGGTCTAATGGCAGTGGCGATTATTCAAATGGTAAGATACCTAAAATCAGTCAAACCCTTTTTTATTTCTAACATCTAAATTACGGTAACCCTTTACCAGACATGAGGCCATGGTCTAATGCAATTTAGTGTAGGGGCAACAAAAAATAAAAAAATAAAAAATAAATAAAATAATCAAATATTCAACAACGATAATGGCCTCAATCAAGTTGGAGCGGAAATCTAGCCGGAATACGTGGAATTGTGATGCAATATTTCAACACAACTAGTTTCTCAGTATATGTTAAGATGTAGAGAAATCTTTCTATATTTCTTACCACTCCATCATGCCTCTAACAACATAATGGTGACTTCATTTGTTCCTAATGATTCATGGTTGCTCCAAGACTCCTTTGGAGGCAAATTTCTTTCAATGAAAAAGCCAGACTGCTTTGGTTTAGGCAAGGAATTTTCTCTGCCCAACATAAGCAGCACAGATGACATGTTTGAAAGGATACACTGTTCCATGCCAGTACATGAATTGAAAGGATAAGGTATGTTAAAAGTTACTTTTGTTCCTAAGTTCCTTCCTCCATATGCAGAAGATCGATCCAACCAAAATAATTACAATCAATACTACGCAGATGACAATAATCAATCTCACTTTCTTCTTCTTGCTTGAGCCTGAAACTGTTGGAGTTGTGGTGTTCAACCTGCCAAGTAGCAACAAGTGAAAATGAAAGGCTGCACAAAATGGCAGCAAATGAAGAAGGGAGAGCTGCACCAAAGCACGGTAGCAGCAAAGTGCAGCAAGCTATGCTGCAAATGTTGATGAAATGAGGC